GTGACGGTTGAGTCCAGAATACCATTCTCAGCCTCCAGGATATGAATCATTTATTTCAAACAGGAAACCCTGTTGACAATCTCCAAACACCATCTAATTTCAATATATAGTCCACGCAGTGTCGAGTCACCTAGACTGGTGGCCACATTGCAACATGGTCGATAGCATTCAATCTGCACTAAATAAGGAATTGACACACGTGACATTGATCACCACCCAGTGATCAATCAATTGTGATACTTAGTTTATATATCAGCCAAATAAACTGCATCATACCATAAAATAGGAAATAAAATTTGTACAAGATCAACCCAAAAAGTGGCTATGAACGTCGGAGTCTGTAAACAATTGACTGGGCATAATTTAAGAACAGTGAATCGTATCATAATAGTCTACAGGTCAAAATGAAGCTTACAATAACAGGAATATGAATGAAAATAATCTAGTTACTGAACAGTTAAACAATGAGAATATATGTATAATATTAGTCCATTAACAGTTCTCAGAAGTTACCTATAAATTAATATTCACTATGATATAACAGTATTGACGTATATTATTTTGTTGCTAATACAGCAATATTACTGGACAACAAAACCAACTAGCATTATGTCAAATGCTTTATACGAACCGATTAAACTAAAAAGGGACTTTCGTCTTCTGTTAGAACAGGTACTATTTTATAAATACAATTATCTCTTTGTAATGTTATGTATTGCATTTTCAGAATTGTATCCCAGTTTAATTAGCTTAGGTTCATGTTTTCAACGGAAATAGTGAAACTTCATCAGTTGAGATGGCTAGGACACGTATTACGTGTGCCCAATCACCGACTACCTCGATGCGCGTTGTTCCATAGTGTAGGAGTAGGTTGGAAGAAAGCTAGGGGTGGACAGAACAAAACATGGCACAAACCCATGAAGTCACTGAAAAGTGAACTGAGTCATGTTGGTAGGTGTAGACTACCTGGTTGGGATCCACGAGACGATAGCAACCGATGGCTAGAAACCTTGTATGACATGGCTCGAAATCATGCGCAATGGTGTAGGTGCATTCATTCTTTGCGTTCTTCCAAATTCTAATCTCCTGAATCCTCCTCGTCTCTTTTTTCTCTTTGCAAATTTATTTCACTGGATTATACTCCTTGAATAACATCAAACCCTTATGTTCGATTACTGCTTATACTTTTACTACCTCTACCACTACAGGATTTGAATCGACAACTGAATTTCTGTGCTAATGAGGTATGGCAACTCGAACTGATGTACGTAACTACGAAGTTCTACGTTGTTGACTGACTGACTTTTAACTGGTAACTTTCGTAGCACAGTGGAAAGTTATACTGAAGTAACTAATCAATAACTGATTCGAAGCAAATGTTAAACTGAACGATTATCACATTAGATTTATCGACAGTATTCATAATTCTAATTACTTATTTTCAAACCTCAAAACATAGTTGAACATTAGAGAGCAAATCTACAATTTTTATTTCTAGAAGATACGTATCAAGTAATCAAGACTAATACATTAGTGTTGGTTCAATAGCTTATATTTCCAGAGAGTCAGTCATAGTGAACGTAGAGCCTAGTATATATATGCGTTACAATACCATATTAGCATAATGAGATCGAAAATAACCAGATAAATAGTAAAAGAGAACGAAATAATATACTAACAATGATAATGAGAGAGGTTAAATGTTGATGTTTATTGCAGACGAAAATACATTCGTGAGATGATATTGCAAAATATCTCCTAAACTAAACTCATACATAATTCAGTATAGGGGTTGTGGAGATTAAGTTTTTAATTGAGATCATGGATTGATTGATGGACGGCCGTTTCGTCCTATTGTGGGACGCCTCAGCAGTGCGCATCCACGACTCCGCTCGCGGGGCTCGAGCCCATACATAAGTCGTTTCACGTACAGCAGGTCACATAAATTCGAGTTTGTTGATATTTGATTCGGTCAAGCCCTTTTAGTAACTTATTAAGTCACTCGTATAACAACAACTTACCTATACCATTGTACCTTTATTATGGTTGCACTTGTATGAATATGTATGCTAGAGCATTGCTTACCGCCTAAGCAGATATTCTTTCTGCTAGCTGTAGTGTTAGTCGCTTAAATAATACGATGGTTCATTCATTTCCCGATGTATACATAATCTTATTCATGAACTCGTTCATTTGCTCTTCTACACTCGCATAACATTCTGGCTTCGTGTGCCTGTGGTTTTAGTGATATGTGCGTGGTGCAATAATAAACGTAATCTGCGCCTCGTATTCGTCCTCTGATTTATACACCACTGGGCATTATCTAATAACGGTTTTATCGTATACCAACCGTCGCGTACGTCTATAGGTAGTACCGCAATTCAGATCCAAATACGAACGAGCTGTGACAACTAATGAAACTACTCACCTAACCAAATTTACCAGAGATATATTTCTATTAAGATTACTACTATGGGTACCTGAACTGGATAGTGATTGTTGTCAGCGACATAGAACCTAACATTTATGCATATTACTACAGCGCGATTAGATTATCAAGACAAATCTCAGTCTAGTAAAGGTAGTAGTAATATCAGTGGTATTTAATTTGCATATTGTAACTGACGACCATGCGTTAAATCTTATTTACCACCCAACTAAGCTACTTCTTCGATCATCCGCTTTCATGGTCCAGAAATGGGTTTTCGAACTGAGGGCTTATGAAATAACTACTGAGTGGCTAAAACACACTACATGCAGATATTTTATCACGCGATTTATATTTCGAAAGACTGCCTAGTTTGACAATTGCATGTATGTACAGCAGAAATTGTAGAGGATACTCGTAAATCTTTTGAAACCGTCCTAAGTGCGGTGAAATGAGGTTAGAATGTTCAATGCAAGAAGTTTCCTGAGTTTTACAAAAGGGGAGAGGACATATCACTGGAGCATTTTGTGCTTTGACAATAGAGTAACTACTCTCCCCACACTTAGATTCGTAATATTAGACGACCTTCACTCTACCTATCGGGTTACAAAGAACAGAAAATCTCTTGCTCATCAAACTTAGTGACCTGCGAAAGATGCTGATACAAGTCAAAAATCGATAAACTGTCATGCTTGTTTACATGAACTATCGTACAATAAACCTACTTGGAATATTCGGCTCTCATCTTATGAATCGTGAAAACGTAATAATGCAGATCACTGTGTCCCATTTAAAAACTGATATTTTGCTTTAATTATTGATACATGTTCCATAAGTAGTACTCACAAACAGTCCTAGCGGAAACTTTACGCAAAGAGGATTGATGATAGTTGGTTGTGAAGAGACACTCAATATATTAGTAAATGATGATAAAACAGTTTTCATAGGAAAAGATTTTAACAGCTGGCTTAGCGATATTGGATCCGGACACCTAGTTATAGCTCCAAGACATCCGCAGTCCAGTGGATTAGCAGAAAGTTATGTTAGTACATAAAAGTGTTATAACATCAGTAATCTAGAAGAGCTAGAAAATGCATCGGAAATTTCTTGCTTCAATATCGTAATGTAGAATATTTAAGAACTTATGACAGCCCAGCTAAACTCTCTACATCTCGCATAATCCGAACTCATATAGTGGATAAAATATCATCAGAAGTAGTTTTACCGAGGAAATAACTATCGACCATCTACGGGAATTATAATTCACAAAATGAGTAGTTGGATGGAAAGAATTTTTGGTTTGAATGACCATTCAGTTCTCATCAGACATATAGACCAAGTGAAGATTAATTACGTAGGTTATTTCAACTTAACCGATCATTCTCTAATCGATCTTATTTTAAAACTTCAGATAGATAGTGTCAATTTTAATTCTTCTGGTTAGCGTTTCTTTGGCGAGTTAGTTTTCTACGGGATGAGGCCGCCAACCTCATGCCCAACCCTCCTCGATTATCCGGGCTTGGGACCGGCAGTAGCCCCAGAGGGGCTCCAGGTGGAGTTTAGGAAGAAGTAATCCTAACGATTCCTCATTATTAATTACTCCGAATTTCAGACAGATGAAAATGAAAGTCAGAATACCAAATAATTGAGATATGAAAGAATTACAAATAAAAGACTACACTATAGACGTATAAAGAGCCAATGTGTGGCAGTTGTGATGAATAACTAGTACATTTACTGTACAAATATTTTATAATATTCTATAATCTGCTATAACAGTACAATGAAGTTTCATTATGCGTACTTTAAATTCGACTTCTTGTCGAAATCTTAGCCTTAACAGGATTAAACTATTTCGAATTCACGAAATAAAATAGGAAATTTTAAAAACTAGAGTTTGAGGAAATTCAGACGGTAGACACATCTATGGCACTGTGATCAGTTGCACGCTGTGTCATCTAATGTCTCCAACCATTTGTCGGGATAACTGCAGAACACCAAACTAGTTAGTCCCCATCTGCCAACATGGCTCAGATAAACATTCAACGAATTTATAGACTAATGACAAGTCTTGCGTTGGTGATCCCTGGCTTCTTTTTAACCTTCCTCTACATTAACAAATATTGCATGTTGAAATAGAAGATAGTTAGGCATGCGAACCACATATCCCAACCAACTCAATAGACAAGGATTCACTACTTCATCAACTGCTTTACTCTATCTACCAACTGAACAGTAGATCCTGAACCGTCTTAACCTGGATCTACTTTAATATGGTCGAATTACATACCTTTTTTTATTATACAGAAAACTATCAATATACTTACTGTATAGTTAAAATAATGTTCAAATTAACTAAGAGTATCTGTTTTTTATACAGTATTATTTTATCAGGCACTTTACACCCTTCTCCTCAATTACCACTTGTCAATAAAGTAACAATCACATAAAGGAAGGTGACGCTTATTGCTCAAATTAAGTAAGTAATAATAGTAATAAGAATAATATATAAAAAACTACGAGATAGGTAATAAACTATTTACATAGAATACATATATATATATAAACAGTATTATGATCCATGGAAATAATTTTGATATGCTACCCCATGAATACGTCGATTATCTTGAGGTGTCATATTGACATCATTTGGAATATAATAACTAAATGGTTGACGATCAGATTGTTTCATCATAGTCCGTGGAATATTTAACGAATCTTGATAATGATGATGACGTTGACGATGATAATGATGATTTTGATTCAAATCATATGGATGATAATTGTGATGGGATCTTTTGTTTGAAGAGGAAGCAGGCATTGAACAATATGGTGGAGCATTATTTTGTTGGTGTTGTTGTTCTTGACCAGCTAGAATGGATCAATTATACAACAACAATAATAAAGGAAAAAGAAGAAAAAAGGCTGAACAGAGAAAGTAATTATATCAATAAACAAGTTACGTAATCAAGATCACGAAATGATTGATTGTTAATTCAGTGATGGCTTATGTCTATTGGGTGGGGTGGTGGAAATTATTGAGTTTCATAATTTATATCACAAACAAATGTTAAATAGAAATTTCACAAGTTGAAATCATGAGTCAATTGAAGCTAGACCACCATGGAAAACCTAGGAGCACTGGATGGCCGTTTCGTCCTGGTATGGGACTCTTCAGCAACTTGTGAAATTTCTAAAAAAAAATCCACAAAACCCATTCTGTTAAATAGATAGCCAATGTAAACAAGGAAGTTCAAGACAGCTCTTTGTTTTTACTACGAGACATTCTCATAGCGGAAACCTTCAAACACACCTTGATCTAAATTAGGATCTTCAGGTAGCGGTTGAACTTTAGCCTACTGAGTCATCTCCATAATTCAGGTGTAAGATAACCATTGGCAATGAAAGATACTTGGGCGAGACCATGAACCGACAACTAATAGTTTATTTTATTCCAAATTAATGTTCTATAGTATTTCCCTTCCGAGTTGTAAAGCTTCTCGATATAGATGGAGAACAACGCGAAACGTCTGGTCCACAATACAGTGGAGCATCGTAAGGAGATGCAGTCTCATGGCAACCGGTGACCAATAAATGATTCATACGCCATTTGTTCTTTCAGGATAATGGGGCCATGAGCACCAATGGTTTGGAATCAGGGTTTTCCAACTCCCCTAAGTGGATCCTCCGTATCCACCAACCCGGTTAAAGGGTCGGACATTCGCATTTCGTCCTCTCGATTTCGTAAACAACACTCCCGCCACGAGAATTTAGGGAGTAGGAATTCCCTTGTGGTGGTTTTATGCACGTGGTCATGTGAGAGCATTTCGAGAGGGGGAGCTGACTATCCCCACGCTCAACCGTATCAGGTCATTTGTGAGCAAGTATTTCGTGGAAAATCGACACTTTCTAGGTTAAAAATTATGTATTTCAAGTGTATGTTGCACAGCTGAAGCACACAATTTGTATAATCGTAGGATTAAAGGTACTTTCACATTAGGCAACAATCCAAGCATGTTCGGGATGCGATTCTACCCCTCGAAATGCAAAATGTTGATCCAGGATTGGATTGCATCGATGATAGGGAGTGAAGTAGTTGAGTGTGTCGACCGCTCCACTTATCTTGGAAGTCTCATCAGCTCTTGTGGTCTGGTGTGTGACGAAATCTCAGCACGGATACAGAAGGCTCGACTAGCTTTTACCAACTTGCGTCATTTATGGCGTAGGCGAGATATCCGTCTATCAACCAAGGGACGGGTTTACTGCACAGCAGTTCGTTCCATCCCACTTTATGGCAATGAAACGTGACCGGTAAGATTAAAGGATATTCGTAGGTTACTAGAATTTGATATTAGTCGTCTTCGAAACATTGCTCGTATATCATGGGACCATCGAGTGAGTAACACAGTTGTTAGGAAACGGGTACTAGGTAAGGATGTCAAGTCGATTGATGAAGTAGTGAAACTTGATCAGTTGAGATGGCTGGGACACGTGTTACGTATGCCCAACCACCGACTGCCTCGACGTGAGATGTTCAGTGGTATGGGAGTAGATTGGAAGAAAGCTAGGGGCGGCCAAACCAAAACATGGCACAAGTCCATGAAGTCACTGACAAGTGGACTGAGTCATGTTGGTAGGTGTAGACTACCTGGTTGGGGACCACGAGATGATAGCAACCGATGCTTAGAGACCCTGAATGACATGGCTCAAAGTCGTTTGCAATGGCGCAATGGTGCATCCACTCTCTGTGTTCTCCCAAACTCTAATTTTCTGAGTTCTTTATGTCCCATTTCTTTTTCTCTTTCCAAATTTGTTTCACTGTATTATACTCACTGAATCACATCTTCAGACTCTAATCTTTCTGACCACTGCTTATGCTCTTACTAGTTCTACCACTACGGGATTTGAATCGATAACTGCATCTCTGTGCTAATGTGGTATGGCAACTCGAACTGATGTACGTAAGTACGAAGTTCTATGTTGTTAATGACTGACTAACTGACTTTCACTTAATAACATACGGAAAACCTCCACAAATTTACTACTAATATCTAATTGAATACCAACATGACTCATGTATTCACATTTGACAGAACAATTAAAACCATTTAGTAAAGAGACAATAACTGGATCTGTAAACAAACAAAATTTCAATAATAAATATACATTGAATCAATGACTGACTTACATGTAAATAATAATAATTCTTTATATTGTGTTGCATTTAATTTTAAAGCTTTTTCAGCAGTTCTATGATCCATAATACGACAATTATTAATTTTCTCTTTCCATTTTTGACGTAAATCAATTAATTTCTCATTGAATTGTTTACGTATTAATTTAATTCTATCAGCGCATAAAGATGTTGGCCATGTTGTCCAAAGTGTAATAGCTTCTTGATAAGATAATTTTAATTGAATAGCTTCATCATCTAACCATGGAGCTGATTAATGATTATTTTGTTTTGTTTTGTTTTATTAAAAAAAAACATACATATAATTTAATTACATGAATATTATGTAAACAATAAAACCTATTCACAGTTTTTGAAATCATGAGTCAGTTGAAGCTAGACCACCATTGAAAACCTGGAAGCATTGGATGCCGGCTCAGTGGTCTAGTGGTTAAGTGCTCGCGCGCGAAGCCAGTAGGTCCTGGGTTCGAGCCCCGCGTGGTGCGGGATCGTGGATGTGCACTGCTTAGGAGTCCCATACCAGGACGAAACGGCCGTCCAGTGCTTCCAGGTTTTCAATGGTGGTCTAGCTTCAACTGACTCATGATTTCAAAAACTGTGAAAATTCTAAAATTCTCCACAAAACCCATTCTGATAATAAAATCTATTCAATTAGACATTAATCAAAGAATTAAATTGACCTTTTCTTTTCAATTCTTATTAGGATTATGTTATATCCCGATGAGTATAATGTGAATGATAACTTTTTGGATCCATTTATGCACCAATAACTATGCGTATACTTTTATTGTATAATTGTTAAATAACTAAACTATACATATTTGTGTCCCTCTAATATTATGAGTTTTATTTTGAAATATAAACTATTACACAGGTTGAAATCATGAGTCGATTGAAGCTAGACCATCATGGAAAACCTGGAAGCACTGGACGACCGTTTCTTCCTAGTATGGGACTCCTCAGCAGTGCGCATCCACGATCCCGCATCACGCAGGGCTTGAACCCCGGACCTACTGGCTTCGTGCACGAGGACTTACCATTCTTGAGTTATACCCTGTCTATTAATTACTATCTCACTTTATTCACAATCCCATTTGGCTAAATCTTGTACAAATGTTGTTTCCTATTTTATGGTACGGTATGGTCTTTCTGGTCGGTATATAAACCGAGTATGTTTGAAATAAATGATTCATATCACAGAGGCTGCGATTGGTGTTCTGTGCTTAACAGGCTTGCCTAGGAAGGAAGCAGAACTGATAAGGACTCTAGACTGCTCGTACATGTTTTATACGCCATTGGTTCGGTCGATAAATCACTGTCCTCTAATGGAGGCTATATCATTACTTTATACATTAATAGGACACAGGGCACAAGTTTTAACAGATTAATCAAGAGAAAAAATGTGTCAGTGACACAAGTTTTACATGGACTGTGACAGAATCGGTAATTAAATTGAACGAATAGATAAAATATTCCTTTTAAACACATTATAAGTTTTCACTATTAACATCAAAATAATACGTTAGGATGATTGGATTGATTTGTGTCTTTTGTATGTTTATGGGCTGGAATACTGTCTGATCATCCAACCAAAATAGTTAATGCCCAAGCTCTTGACCTTATAGTTTAATCTATAAGACAGATGAGCAACGTCAAGAAATTTCATGCCATTATGGCTAGTTTTAGATAATCAGTTAATACGCCACTTTCTTTCTTTAGGACTCTGAAGCCAATACACACTATCCATTTAGAATAGGGGTTTTCCAATTTCTCTAAGTGAAGGCTCCGTATCCACCAACCACATCTAAACCCATGGCGTTAAATTCTCACTATTTCGCTTTTAGAAATAATGAGTAGAACTTTTTTGAATAGTATTAGGTAGGAGGATATACTTTTTGGTAGATTTATCAAAGACAATCAATATTTACTTATTTGAGCACATAAATATTGGTACAAATGAACACCAAGATATATATATATATATATAAATATGCCACACAATAAGATAATGTGATTGTGAAAAGATAACGAAAGCTAGAATAAGTGAAAAAAACAATAAATAAATAGAATTTAGCGAACGAGAGTGGTATACACTGAGGAAGGTGGTTCCGTTAAGCCAAATATAATCACGAAGGATGTTTTCAGTTACAGAAGTTATCAATATCTATATATTTATTGAAACATATAGATATTGGTACAAGGGGGAACCATAGATATATGCGCCACATAAGTTACTCGATTTTATGTGAGGTCTGCGATGCTATCCGGGTGTCCAGACCGAAACAGGTGGTTTTCTTAGGGAGCCACACCTGGAGCCTTCCACCTAAAAGTCTAATCCACAAGGCAGTGGAGCATCGTAAGGAGATGCAGAACCATGGTAGCTAGTGACCAACGATTGGTTCATACGCCATTTGTTCCCCCAGGATTCTGAAGCCCATGTGCATTATTGGTTTGGAATCAGGGTTTTCCAACTCCCCTAAGTGAATCCTCCGTATCCACCAACCCGGTTAAAGCGTCGGACATTCGCATTTCGTCCCCTCAATTTCGTAAACAACACTCCCACCACGAGAAGGCAGTGAGTTGGACCAAAATACATAAGTGATGCTTTTAAGAAACCCAGGATCGAATACTAGTAAACTACGAATATCTTTTATTCTTAGTTGTTGTGTTTTAGTATTAGGCACTGAGAGGTCGATAGCATTCGATCTGCAGTAAAAGGACTTGACACACATGACATTGATCACCACCCAATGATCAATCAATTGTGATTACATCTCAGTCCTACAGGAGGTCGATCGCGGCCCGGATAGCCTGGTGGTAACGTCTCTGACTGTGAAGCTGGGCGACACGCGAGCGAATCTGTCAGGGAGCACCAGTTCCCTCAAGATTACAGGTACACCTTGTTGACGAGTGCCAAGTAGCATGAAACCCGGGTCCAGGGTTTTCTGTTGACTACCTCCAACCACCATCTAATCTCAACAGAGGATAAGTGCATATTACTAAGGAATTCCAAAATGCGGTGGAAAACTTTGACTGGATATTATATATCTCACTAGTTAACTGATTAACATTAGTTTGAAATAAATACAACTTATATTTATAATTTGTAAACTTACCATCAATGGTATTTCTAAGATTTCGATTATCCTCTAATAAACCAACATCCATCATACGTTGTCGAACACAATTATACAATTGTGAAATGCCAGAAACTTCAAGTTTAGAAGCTTCTTGAATCATAAAATTGACTCTAAACAAGAAGACAATTACAATCAAATAATATTTACTAGTTTTAGAATATAAATTAACAGCTTTTCCACAAAAAATGGCAATAAAACATCTAGTAAAAGGGCAAATAAAATTGTGACTTGAACAAACCAGTTTTCTTAAACCTGCTCATATTGATTTTTAACTGTTATTGAAATTCCGCTCTAACATGACTTCCACAATCAAACTAGTTTTCTAATTTGGTCTAATTAAGTTAGTCAGTCACCAAAACGTAGGAACAGGCACATATATGCATCGATTCAAGTTGCCATACATCATTAGCACAACTAGATGAACACCAAATTCATAGAAGTAGTTACTTTAATGGTAGTAATATATTAGAGAAAGATTTAATATAAGGATGTGATACAGGAAGACGAAATAACTTTGTAGAAAGAAAGGTATAAAGTAATCTCAGGTTTAAGGGAAGACAAAAAGTAGTCTAATTAAGATTGTAGTTATCAGTATGGGATTGTGAAGATTGTTGAGTTTTTTATTGAGATCATGAATCGACTGATGTTAGAGCACCACTGGAAACCCGAAAGCACTAGATAACCTCTCTCGCGGGATTCAAACCCAGAGACTTCGGTCTCATATTTGACTTAGTTAATTCCGTTATTCACTAACGCTAGTTAAGTCGATAATAATATAAGAGGGTTGATGATATGTATATTTTGATAACAATCCCTCACACCATCCAAATACAGTCATATTGGACCATTAAAAGATAACTACCAGATCGTTAAGAAAAAGATAATCACTTTGAAAACTATATTGAAAACTTGAAAGTGATGCATATGATTCTACACAGACGTTCAATATACATATTTTTCTTTGTAGTGCTACCACCGAAGTAGAGTGACCTTATTTGGTACACAGACATCAGAAAAATTTTACGAACATCTCTGGAGAAAAATGGATGTTCTATTGAATGACTATAAGTAGGGAGAATCTTCAAATGATAATGTACAAATACCACTGTCTAATAACAATTGAATCAGATAAATGACCACTTGTACTTAATTATTGGCTAACTGATGTGAGGGCGATGGAACTAATGATTGAACGTTTGCCTAGTAAGACCAGTAGATATTCGGACAGGTATTAGTTGAGTTATATATTTTCCTACCCTTATTATTATTATGATTGTTGTCAGTTATTGGCGTAGGAATGTACTCACGTTCCAGTCAGACCGATCATGTGCTTTTGATCTGAATTGTGTTGACGTCCTGTATAATAGACACTAGGGGAGTATCCAGTATGGATATTCGTCTAACCTAAATTAGCGTCCCATTTGTGTGAGAGAGAAAACCGAGCGTTATTTCACTAACAGAGTAGAGAATAAATAAATAATTAAGGGTCCATCCGTTTGATTTAGCTTCTTTGACGGTGAATTAATTTCACCTGGTCATGATTAGAGTATTTCAATAAACTCGCAAAAAATTCAACAATCCGAATCAAGCAGCTGAATGACGCAACACTAAGGTAGTCTCCCTACTGACAAAATGAAGACATAGTAATGTATCAATCTAAGTGTCTCCACTTTCGCACAGTAAATAAAACGACGGAAATTATTAAATTGAACAAAAACGATAAGAGTAGAAGAAATAATGGTAGGACGTAACCTGAATAGCATAATCCAATTTTGTGCGGATTTAATTTCAAAAGTTAATGAAACTCACCTAGACGAGGATGACTTTTTGATGTCCTCGGGTAGCTTTTCGTTAACTTCAGATGGCTTTTTGGTGCCATCCGATGACATGTTATCTGTAGGTGTGAAAATTTAAAAAGTAGTAAGTGCCTCTTAACAATAAGACTAAATAAATACAGTCCTCTTTAGGAATAAACCGATGATTTTCCTTTGATAAAAATTTCAAGCAACAAAACAAGAAATAATATTTATGAAAAAATTCCATCCAAATTCATTTAGTTCTGGTCTTTTTACACATGTTGACTCTAGAATAACTGAGTGGACCAGTGTGAAGTAACCTTGTTGAAACTTATCAGATTTACTTATAACATTAAGTGGAACATTACAAAGTGTGTAAAAAGACGACATAATAGTTGTGACGAAATAAAAATAGCAAACGCACTGAGGGGCTTGGCCTACAAAGGAATGAAATCATGATATACTGAGATGATGGAGAAGATTCGTAGCCCAGGTGGATGGTTTTGATGGAGTTTTGTTCTCTGAGCTGGATGGTTTGGTTGTGGAGCTTTCATCGTTCTTCTGAACGACATCATCAGCACAAAATTCAGATAGAAGTGAAGTGTTCGAATTTCTCCATAGAGAACAGCTGTACAGAACAAGCTGTGAAACGCATATGGAGAAATTCGAACACTTCACTTCTATCTGAATTTTGTGCTGATGATGTCGTTCAGAAGATCTATGAAAGCTCCACGACCAAACCGTCCAGCTCAGAGAACAAAACTCCATCAAAATCATGATACATTGGATTCACTTTAATATTTATGAAGAACGCTCGAACAAAACAGCACGATGTTTGAATTAACGAATCATTTATGTGAGAGCACGAAATCATAGAGTAATGTCGTATTCCCCTGTAGATCTGACAACCGGAAGTCACGATGATATTTGAGCAATCGATAGAATTGTTTTCGCAACGAAAATACAAATGCACTGCAACCTAGGATGTGAAACCGTTAGTTTACCATACAGACCGAGATCTTGAGTGCCACCGCTTGAAATCGGCTCCGGCAGCCTATAGTTGTTCAGTCGATTTTCTCTTTACCCTTCAGTTATACTATTATTTCATGGTCTCCATAATTTTGACTTATATTATTTTCGAGCCGTAATCCCTATATTTTTTGTTCTTAATTATTATAGACATCACGATTTTTCCAGCTTCTCGCAGATGATGGGATATGGCTACGTGAACCAATATGATATCGTACCACATCCTACGTTACGACTAAGATTTAGTTCGGCAAGAGGCATGAAAACGTGAAATGAAATTTTTAACAGCAAGTTAGGCAAGCGGCTTGTTTAACATAAATCACATTTGTTTATACATTGTTTGAACCACTGATCAAGCAGGCCTATTGTTAATACAAATGCAGATGAACTGAATGATGCCTTCAACTATTTAATTTTCTAATATCGAACTAACTGACAAAGTACACCATTACTGAAGCAGAAACAGATTTAGGAGTGAAAGTTGCATTAAATTTCTCGACAGACTGAAACATACCCACAATGCTACCCTAGGTGACCAACAGCATTTTCATTTTATGAGTCTTCACTTGGTATTTGTCAACCAACAATACGAATGACAGCGGACAGAACTATAGAATAAGAAAGAATCATTTTTACGTGTTACTCTAGTGGTTACTACACCTAATATGTACTAAGTCAGGATCAGTAACTCAGTTTTACTTTGAATCATCAGATAAAACATGTTCCTCATGCAGTGCCTAAGTAATTTTTCATAATCGTTTGATTTTTGAATGTTCCTAATATATAAAAGAATACTGTAGGAAGAAATAATGTTAAATAGAGTAAGAACAAAGGTTGGTGCAGAATAATATGAATTCATTTTATTTCGTTAGGTTCTCATCAGCTGCTTACGGCATGACTTGAGACATTCATCAAAAAACTTAAGTCGAGTAATTTCTCTCGATATTCTGCAGCGTATTGTCACTAGGCGATTCAGTGACTTGAATGACTGTGCAGGGAGACGCATTTTCAGAAATTTCATACACATAGTTCCCTTTATTATTTTAAATAGAGTAAGAACAAAGGTTGGTGCAGAAGGTGACGTAAGCTGACAAAAGCCAAACGAGCTTGTCGAATCCGTGCTGAGATTTCGTCAGACACCAACCCATTAGGGCTGATCAGACTTCCAAGATAAGTGAAGTTGTCAACGCGTTCAACTACTTCACTACCTATCCTTAGTTCAGGTGTTGACGCAGACCAGTCCTGAAGCAACAACTTGAATTTAGAGGGAGAGAAGCGCATCCCAAACATTGTGGCATTGTTGCTTAGTGCTACCAGAAGACTCTGCATTTTGTCAGCGTCTTCACCAAACAGGACTATGTCATCTGCGTATTCTAAGTCGATAAGTGGACCTCTTGGAAGGAGATCAATACCCGAGAATTCAGTCGACGAGAGTGTTATTTCCATCAATAGGTCTATGATGAAGTTAAACAGAAATGGAGAAAGTGGACAGCCTTGACGGACACCACTTGAGGTTGCAAAAGTAGATGACAGTTCGCCATAAGCCCTGACTCGACTAGTAGTGTTCGAATAAAGAGCCTTCACAAGGTTTATGTACTTCTGAGGTACGCCTTTCAATGACAGACACTGCCACAGAATCTCGCGGTCTACCGAGTCAAATGCTGCCTTTAAGTCAAGAAATACCACCATCGTCGGACGCCGATAGGTATGCCTGTGTTCTAGAACCTGACGAATGGTGAATGTGGTCGATGCAGCCACGACCAGGTCTAAAGCCAGCTTGGTTCTCTCGAGTTTGTAGTTCACGAGTCTTAGTTAGGCGTTTGATAATTATCGAGGCCAGTATTTTAGATACTATGTTTGTTAAACTAATCCCTCTGTGGTTGTCACAGGATGATTTTGACCCTTTCTTATATATTGGGACGATAAGTGATTGCGACCAGTCAGATGGGATAAAGTCTAATTCCCAGATCTTAGCTAAAATATTAGTCAACTTAATCGCTAAAATTGGACCACCATCCTTAAAGACCTCTGGAGCCAATCCATCTGGACCAGCTGCCCTTCCTCGTTTCAGATTAACTATAGCCTTTTGAACTTCAGCAAGAGTCGTTGTCATCTATCGTAGCCCAATCTGTTTACCTGATGACTTTATTTTAGAGCACTTCAACTATGAAGTGGAAATATCATATGACTGATATTACATTTTAATGCACCTGACATTAGTTGGACTGAGAGGACCAACGTAGGACCTGTAAACTCCTTCGATAGTAGGTTCCTGATAACGGTAATGGAGCATTTTTAAGTACATAATGTATCCGAACCCACAGGTTTTGACTCAGACCAAGGATTTTTTTATGTTAGACTTAGTGGTCACTCATAAGACTGAGGATATCGCCAACCTAAATATACTTCCACCATTAACAAGTAGCGATCATGCTATTTTTCATTAATGTTTAGAGCTTGTGACTCAATATACGATCAGTTTAAAGCTCACCCAAATGTATGGAGAGCAAACATATCAACCATTCACGAGTGCGGTGGAAAAAACAGACTGGTCATTAGATACTAACTGATCGGTCGAAAAATCATGGTCTATTCTTAAAGGTAAGCTTAATTCAGTTACGTTCTTGTTTACACTATGCTTACTACCACGTAGACCAAATAACTGTCCACCATGGATAACTAAACAGGTCGAGAAACTTCATGGACATAGGAAAAAAAGCATTGGGACATGCTCATCTCTACAGGTTTACGACAGTATAGATGTAGATATTGTAAGACTAGGAATGATTGTAATGCGTTGATAAGGAAGAGTAAACAGTTATATGAATAACAACTGACTAGGGATTGTAAAAATAGTCCGTGAAGTTTATTATCGTATATAAAGTGGCAAACTCAGAGAAGTGATTGAATCTCACCACTTTTGGTAGAAGAAAATCTATTGATACTGGCAAGGGATTATGCCAAAAGGCTGAAACTTTATCAACATATTTCAGTAAAGTTTTAGACTAGCAATGAGGAATGAACAACGACGCTTGTCGACGGATCCCGTAGTTATTGCGAAAGGAATGGTCTTAAGACTACTTCATCTCAAATCAGATAAGTCCAGTGATTCTGACGATATTCATCCTAGGATTATGAAAGCCCTATCGGATGTAATTGCTGAGACTGAAAAGAAGCAATAATTAGTCCGGTGTATAAGGCGAGGAGTAGAAAATTAATTAGCAACTATCGACCGTTTAGTCTAACCAGTGAAGCTGTAAAACTAATGGAAAAGATTATTCGGATGGCTGTTATAAATTATGTGGAAGGGCATAATCTTTTACCTAGGGAGCAACATGAATTTCGGGAAGGCCTATCATGTTTGACAAATCTCACTGCAAAATAAGATTGGGTTGTGGCAAAAGATCGAAATATTCCTGTATATGTGATTTTCATAGACCTAAGTAAAGCCTTTGATAAGGTCTTCCACTCTGATCTTAAATTAACGCTGTAAAGTTTTGAAATTCACTGTTGAGTCATAGACTAGATAAATGACTTTCTTCATGACAGGAGGCAAAAGGGTAAGGGTAAATGGGACTCTACCATTTTAGGAACGTGTAAGTAGAGTTTCCCAAGGTACAATCCTCGGTCCTCTTCCGTTTTTACTTTATATAAATGAATTATCAACTGTAACAAAGTCATCCGTCCTACTCTTCGCCGATGACATCAAGATTTGGACACCCATACACCATATGTCAGATAGAATAGTATTACAGAATGATCTCAACTCACTGGTGGCATGGATAGACGAGTGGTCACTAGAAGTGAATCTTAACAAGAGTGTGGTGATACATTCAAATACCTATGATGATTCACATCACTACACAATATGCGGATTCATTTTACCCGAAGTAAAAAACTATAAAACTTAAAAGTCATAAAAAGCAGTGAACTCAAAACTACTGGTAACTGTAAGAATGCTTTTGTAAAAGGCTTTTGGGTACTATGTGTTATTTGTAGGCCTTTTCAGTATATGGATGTTTCAAGTATGAGGCGGATATGTTGGAATGAGTCCAACGACGAGG